ATAGACCTAGCCATACAAAGACACCACATGTCACTATTTAATAATTACTAGTTTAAGTCATTATCTGGAGTAATAGTGAAGGAAAAGTATAATTATAAGGAGGCAAGTGGATTCTGTGGAAAATTTTGAATGCTTTCTGTGTAATTTTAGAGTTTGAAGACATGTTGCATTGTTCCATTTGTTTTAATACACTTTAGAACTTTTAACAGCCATGATTAATAGATATTTTGCAACACATGGAATTACACACACACCAACCATCTAGCTCTATTGGATCAACATTGATGACCAGGAACAGTTCAGTAGCAAAGTGCTTGCCTAGACTCCATGAGGCACTAGGTTTGATCTCCTGCACCAAACACCTCTTCCCCCCAATAAACCTTTTTTAAATAAATCACCAACTTCCTCTTTCTTTCTTTCAGACATAGCTTGAAACACTCCTTTCTCTGCAGTACTTCATGAATGGTATTCACTAAAATTTGTGAGACCACAGACTTGACTAGAGGTGGAAAGGCAGGTTTAACTAGGCCGACAGCAGGTCACACCGTGAATGAATTGTGTTCTGTTAGCCCATTTCCAAGTAAAACATTTAAGTTTTTGAAGCCTGTGTTTCCTCATTAAAATAATGTCTAGGTTCCAGGAGAAGCATGCGGGGGGGTGGGGGAGGTGGGGAGAAGGATAGATGCTCCAAAGACAATTTTAGCATGAAGTGTGTCCGTGACACTGCCTACAGTTTTCTTCATGAACCATTTTTTCTAGTGGAAAGTAGTCATTTCTGTGCTTCAATTTATGACACAGGTACTATTTTTGTTTCTTAACAGCCCCAGTTGTGGGTCACTGCTACTAGCATTTGTATTTTTAACATCACTCAGTAGTATTTAGGAGTTCAATTTAAAATTTGCAACATTCTCACTAGACTGGAACTTTATCGAGGCAGGGAATGGACTCCAGAGATACAAACACTCATGAGAGGAAGAAGGTTATGTTGGCATTGTAGTAGGGAAGCTGGGATGTAGCTTGGAGTTTAGAATTAGGGAGAGAATGTTCACATAGTACAAATATAAGACACACAAGAAGTCTTTTTTCTTGCATATGTATATGTATCGTGTGTGTGTGTGTGTGTGTGTGTGTGTGTGTGTTTTCATGTGTCTGGGAATACATGTGTGTGAATGTGTATAGAGGCCTGAAGTTGAATTCCTTTCTAGCTTATATACAGAGACAGGGTTTTTTTTTTCCCCCACTGAACTTTGAACTTAACCATTTTAGCTAGTCTGGGTAGCCAGTTTGCTCTACGGATTCTCTGTCTCTGCTTCTTGCAGGCTGGGATTAAAGTCCATATGCACTTACAGAACTTCTACCTAGGTTGTGGGGATTTGAACTATGGTCCTGATGCATGCATGTCAAGCATTTTAGCTCATGATCCACCTCTCCAACCCTGTTAAACCTTTTCTTGATGCTGTTTCTATGGGGGAGATTTAAGAGAAATATCCTCTTCAGCCCTCCCCAGTAATCTTGATATCCATTCTGTTCTGCCATAGCAGTCTAGCTTGAACCGAGGAAGCAAAGCACTTGTATTACTACTAGATCTCTGCTTCCTCCCCTACTATTGTGGACATTCGTGCCTTCTTTTCTAACATAGGACTCTTGGTGCTTTGCTTCCTTAGGCACTTAGAACCTGACAACTGTGAATGTGATAAGGCTTTACCTGTTTTAAAGGGAAGAAAAATTCTTGTAACGACTTATAAATTAAGATTTGTTCACTTGCCACAAACTTGTTCCTAATAAGTAAATCTGCTCCCTCCACCACATGAACTCAGAATGTTTCCTGTGTGCCTGACATTTAAAAGAAAGTCCCTATAAAATATGCTTCTATTTTGCTGTTCTGCGTGAACGAAAGCACCTGTTTTTCAAGTTAAAAAACAATGCATGTCATTTGGTTTCCACCATTTCAAAATGGAAGCTTTCCAACTGTCACCAAAATGGATGCATAGAAAACTTAAGTGGTGACCTTACAGAAGAGGCTATATGGTTGAGTTTTCTCAAGTCACAACTGAGTAACTTCTACATCAGAAAATAAGGCTTCCTAGCAGTAAGAAAGCTGTTCCCTGGAACTTTGAAACGAGCCAGGGACTTGAGAGGTTTTTGTGGCTGCCTTCTTTAGATCTCTCCATTTCTAGAGACAAGCTTCGCAGGAGAGTGCTCCCAATGAACCTCCAGATTCCCGCTAAGCAGGCACGAGTCAGGGCAAGGCCTGAGGGAGCACAGTCAAAACAAAAATACCAAGGTAGCTTATCCCAGCTCCTCCCCCCCACCTCCCTACCCACTCCCAAATTCATGCTTTTTCTCTTAAAAATAAAAACAAAACATGAAGTCCAATTTGTGTTGGCATGGACTCTGCCCTGGAGGGCAGTTGATATATTCAGTATCCATTTTGAAGTGTGCCATTTTTGCATTGTTGTTCAACTATCACCACTATCCATTTCTAGATAGTTATTTTTAGCCATGATTTTAATGTAGCATGAATAATTTTATATAATGACAAGGGACAGCAGAGAGCTATATGAAGAATGTGGCCAGAAACTTTATCCCCTCCACATGGTTTTGTTCCAGTTGTGAATGCAGTTCATAACCTACATCCCACGAAGTCATATCTCCCAGTAATTCAAACACTACTGAATTTTGAAGCTGTCAGAATAAAGTGGATGAGACTGACTGGGGAAATTATGAGGAATGAGATGAATGCACACAGTAGGCATTCAATAAATACATGTCTGTTGAAATATGGGCCTCTCGGAGATGGATTATGCTAAGCCTAAAGCCATTTTTATTTTTTGAAAAGGACATTTTACAAAGGAGAAAGAAATGACCTTCAAGCTTTATAAGAAAACACCAAGCACATTTTCAAATAAAAGAATATTCCAGAGGCATTGAACATACTCTAGATGAATCACAAACACAGTTTTTATGGAAAAAAATAACAAGAAGGCCATACTGTAATATTTCACTTCATGCACTCATTTTTTTAAAAAAACAAATACTGGTTGTGGTATATATGGACCTTTGAATGGGACCATATTTCCTTAACATAAACAGAAATCTAAGGGCAATTTCAGCAGCAAATACAGGCATGACTCAAATTCTATTCAATGCCTGAATGAACTTCATTTAAAAATTTCATTGAACTAACAAAATATTTAAAGATTATAAAAGAGTCTTGCACTATTATGTGATCAGTAGGAAAGAGTTTGTGTACTTTAGCACTCTTCATAAAGACTACCTTTGTCAAGAAAATATGCGGTGAACGAAAAGGAAAGGAAAACACTGTGGTCACACTGATGTGTTTGTCTGGTTTTTTACTCTTGTTTTTAAAGATGAAGTTCTACAGCGAGCTCAGTCAAAATGAATACCTAGTACATTTTTGCATGTCTGAAGGAAATCGTTACAACTGCACACAGTTTTAGAGAACATATAATTTTCTCTCAAATGTAATAACTTTTTAGCCCAGCTTACAGTAAAGTCACTTTTTACCCTGGCTTACAGTAAAGTCTTGGTTATGTATGATATCTTGTATAAATCCCATATCCTATGTTGATCAATTAAGCTGACTCACAAACTCCAAGCCATGTAAAAATGCAAGGACAGGCCCTTAGTTATGTATCTAAGTCAATTGACAAAGCCATCCCCTCATGGTACTAACAGGATGTGGTCTTAAGTTATGCTGACTGCTTTAAAGAGAACCCGGTTAGATTCGATGTGGTTTTAGTTTACAATAAAAAAAGCATGCCTACGCAATCACAGTATGACAATACAAATGGAAAATAATGAGTTGATTAATTTCAGTAAAATACTTAGCCCAACAGGGTGTTTCATAACAGTAATCAAAAAGCTGCGCAGGAGGACCAGGAGTTCAGGGCCAGCCTGGACTGTAATCTTATGCCCAGGATTTACCTTAGCGGTAATATATATAAACCATGTGCAAGGCTCTGGGTTTCATCTTTGCACACACACACACACACACACACACACACACACACACACACACACAC